AGCCCAGCCTCTGGAAGAACACCTGCTGGTGAACCCATTATACACATCTAGATGTGTATAAGAGACAGGAGAGAGAGAGAGAGAGAGAGAGAGAGTTACCTGAGTGGAGACTTGGTGGCCATAGCCGCACGTCTATGGACTCTACACATACATGCATGAACCTTGTCGTATAAAGCTTGAACTTTCGAGCAAATTTCAGAGTTTTCTCATATCGTGTTTGTTTGCCTGTCAAGTGCGAAGCCTGGCGTGATGAAGCATGAATTTGTGACATTGTGAGAAGCACAGCGAAACCGTGGGATCATTGCACCATGGTGTCCTATAGAACTTCTTGGAATGCATCCCAGATGCCAGAGTATGAAAATTAGCTGCATATGTTTTTCCTCCTCTCTTTTTCTACTATGCTGTGCTTGTGTAGGGACTTTATCTGAGGCCAGCAAAGGCTTTGCAGCATCAGGCCTGAGTTCAGTGCTAGCTTAACAATCTACCATTGCATCTCACTGGCTCTGGGGTAGGCTTGGGAGTCATACCAGGAACAAGATTAGCAGTATTTCATTGGCCAAGACTGCTTCAAGGAATGCTCTGGCTTATGCTCTGCATCCAAGAGGATCAACCCTTCCGCAAATTAGAAAGCATGATGTGCTTAGGCACAGCTTAGCCCTCATTGATCCCCGTTGTGATACTCAGGATTACAACAAGGAATGATTTCAATATATCCCTCGATAAGGGAACCCGATCTGAGGCACAATAGAATCCTAAAGGGAAAGGGACAGAGGAAGGAGACATTCAAGGAAAACAAAGAAGACGAGAAAGTGCACAAACAAAGACAAAAACCAAACACATTAAGTGGGAAAGTACGCAAGAAGCCAACCAACAGTCATACAGATACAAAGCGGGAAAGAGAGGGAGTAAGCAAATCAATACCTTTGACTGTGTACAGTTTGGATGATTTTGTATAGGACTCTCCATGGTATAGTAATCCTTAGTTTGTGCTTGTACTTTGCCAAGATCCTCACGAGGGTCTGGGCCCACCTCAACTGCAAAATACAACTCGGGAAGGTTAACTCCATACCTGACTGCTACTCAACCGGATACACCCGGAAGTGTGGAAATGATGTGAACTGCTACAGCCGATAATGGACTTTAAAGTTCCAAGTCTGAAACAACGTGCCCCGAACACACAACCAGCAGGAACAGAGGACCAGAATCACAAGGTTGCATTCATCGTAGATATTCTCTCCCAACCCTCATTCCCCAAAGCCCCCTTTGCCCGTTCTACCAATGAACTCGACAAGCAAAACCAAATAACACAAAAGTACAAAACGGAGCAGGAACCAAGGACCACGACTGCATCCATGGTCGATATTCTCTTCCACCCCCCAACCTCCACCACCTCTTTCGCATTCGCCCAATGAGCTTACCAAACAAAAGTGAAGAAAACAAAGTAGAAAAACAGTCACAAATTGATGTCTTATCCACAGAGCAGAATCTCAGTCAAACTGACTTATCCTTTCACAGCCTACACAGATAACTGAGGAAACAAATGACAGAGATAGTGCAAGCAATCAAAAGGAAATCCATGGAAACCTCCACGAGGGACAAAAATAACCTCGTCATAATGCCCCCACCCTCCACAGCGTCCCCCACCCTCCACAGCGTCCCCCACCCTCCACAGCGTGCAGATGCACCATCTGCAGCTAAGGTTTGACCAGGTTATTTTTTTCTGGTCAACCTGAGCAGGCTAGCTTTGGTCTTCATCTTTCAAAAAGGTCAGAATGGATGAACTGCTGGTAGGCTCCCCTTTCTTTTTCTTTCCCTTCTGCCTACCACGGCCAGATTTGAAAGGCAGCGAAATGACAGAGGGACTCTGCTGGACACAAATTCCTCATAGAACTCTACTATTTTTTAACTCCTAAATCGAGCAGTCCGTCTTGGAAGATGCTCCCAACTGGGCTCAGAGTGTCCCTGTGGTGTCCCACTCTGTCCTCGAGACGCGGTGGTTTTTTTATTTGGGTTTCTGCTCCGGCCCGTTTTTCTCACGCCGCCCACAGTTGCTCGAATTCAAGTACATAGATTCGCATGCAAGTACAAAGATTCCTACGCAAGTACATAGCAGGTCACGAGCGATTTCCAGTTTTTGTGGTTGTCTGTTGCTTTGTGTTCCACTTTTGCTTTAAAACTCCTGTCGGTTTTGTCGTTTTGTGTGTTGTTTTGGCCTTTGACCGTTTTTGGATGTGGAGCTCATGCGTTCAAATTCTGGCGAAGCCATGCACAAAAATATTGCAATGGATCTTTCCATGTTCTAGCGGGGGATTCGGTCTCATTTTGCACATTTGGAGAGCAGAGGAGCGAGGCACGACGTGCGTGGATTCCCTCTATGTTCAAATACTACTCATCGAAATGAGGAAAATGAGAATGAATTTCCAACGAGAAAAAGGGAAGATACACCGCCATACTTTGTCTTTTGTGCATCTGGTGAGTAGCGGGGCCAGGCTCACAACCACATAGGGTTGCACAAAGCCAAAAGATATGGCAATGTATCTTTCCATGTTCTAGTGGAGGATTCGGTCTCATGGATTCGCTGATGATCAGATACAAGTACGTAGGGCCTCGCTCCACCTCTCTCTACATGCACAAAAGACAAAACATATGGCAATGAATCTTTCCATGTTCTAGTGGAGAATTCGGTATCATTTTGCACATTTGGAGAGTAGTGGCATGAAGCCCGTAGTTGGGGTTCAGAAAAGTCATTCTGTGAGCATGCCCTTATTCTCCTTTCTAAATTATGTCATCCCTAGGTAACCCATAATCATAGTTCTTTACTCGTTCGCTTGGTCTTCGAACTCAGGCCTGTATTTCAATAGTTTAGAAATGTACCCAGCTGCGTCAGTTGGTCCATGGCCTTATTTCCCTTCGTGAGATTAGACCTCAGGGCTGACCTGCATCAGTTGGTGCCACCCAGCCGATATAGGAGATGCATGTGCATGTGACGTGGTGGAAGAAGCATATGGCACGCGCAAGAGGAGCACAAGGACATTGCAGAGTAGGCGGGCCATGCCCACAGAATATTTGTGCCGAGGGGATTCCCACCCGGACACAGGAGCAGAGAGAGTGACGGGTGATTTTCCCCATAGCCGTCAGCTACGGCCGTGGGCCGCAGCACACCAAATAAATTGTACGGGTTAATCATAGAAGCACATTGTGACAGGCCTACCAGCTCATGTATCAAAGAAGGCCGGGAATGCCGCCCAGACCATCAGAAGGGTTCTGTTTTCCGTCTTATGGAGAAATGGAATACAATGGTCTCAAGAGCCCAAGCATCTTCTGTTTATCATCAGAAGAGAGACTGGAGGAGGAAGGTGGACAAGCTGCTCAATCACGCGAAGGGAGTGGGGTAGTTCCTTTCAATTTCTGCACCGAAGATTCCAGTGGCTACTGAAACTCCCAGTCATTCAATATAAGATCCTCATTTAATATTAAACCAATCTTGCAATCTGCCTTGTCTGAAGGCTAGTGTTGATGGACCAGGCTTTCAGAATATAGACTCCGTCGTTGTGGAGGGCGAGGATGCTAGAGATTGGTCAGGTTTCTCTAGTGCTGTGTCATACAGCTATCAGCATTGGCTTGTGAATTATGAGTACTGATCTCTTTCAAGGTTACATTCCACCTCAGAGACATTCAGGCTTGATTCTGGCCTAGACTGGTGAGATTGGCATCCAGACTCCAGACTCTTTTCCTTGTTTCACTCTGGGTTGTTGTGGGAACCATGCCCCGAACCTGGTTGTTGTGCATAAAGGAAATAGTTGAATTATGAGATTCCACTCCTCATTTACTTATCTACAATTCTGAAGGAACTGCTGTTGGTCATACGGAACGGCACAGATCGTAGGTCATAAGGAACGGCACAGATCGCGGGCCGCTCGTGCGAACAATGGCCAGAATAGCGAGCCGATGTGAATCTTGGGTGATCGGCCTGCAATCTGGGCCTTCCACCGTGCAACTGGCTCAGATGGCTGACAGCAAGGGACTTTCTGTCCCGACCAGGCCGTTCGAAATTTCTTGTTGATTTTGTGCTTTTTTTGCTGATGTTTTTTGTCTGGTTGGGCTGTATATCAGCTACAGACTTTATGGTACCGCCTTTTTTACTCGTACTCTACGCTCAAGTTGAGCAACCTATTGTGCAGTATGTGCCCTACACAACCTATCGTGTGCCCTCATGTGCCACTGTTCCTGATAGTGCCGCTCTATGCGACCGGTGTGACCTGTGTGCTACTGAACTACGCAACCTGAGCGGCTACCATAGCTCTCTCTCTCTCTCTCTCTCTCTCTCTCTCTCTCTCTCTCTCTCTCTCTCTCTCTCTCTC